GCGCCTCAGCAAAGGGAGAGTACTTTCGGCAACTGAACAGCCCATGAACTGAAGGCTGCAGCTTCGCAGAGATAACCACTCGCGCCTCCCTTCCGACATTGGCGCCTCAGCAAAGGGAGAGTACTTTCGGCAACTGAACAGCCCATGGACTGAAGGCTGCAGCTTCGCAGAGATGGCTACTCGCGCCTCACTTCCGATATTGGCGCCTCAGCAATGGGAGAGTACTTTCGGCAACTGGACATCTCATCGACTGAAGGCTGCAGCTTCCTTCATTTCCTTTTCCTTCTAATTGCGACACTGCACCAAGAACATCCTTTCCCTTTCCTGCCTTTCCTTCCACCTCGTCTTTGATTCTCGACCGGATTCAGCGGGGCTTCAATCACACAATCATTCTACAATCCAACCCCCAAGACTGTCGCTACCACGCCATCTAATGGATCGGACACAGCGAAGTTCCGCCAATGGCACACAGGCCCCGTTCCAGAGAATCGCCCTCCAGCTCCTGTCGCCGAACATCAATAAAGCCATTTCACGCATGACAGATCAACCAGCGACAACAGCAAGAAAGTGAGTACTGTCATGTGACGTGCGTCTGACTCACTCGACTGACTTCACGATAGCACACCAACTACGACACCTGCTGCGGCGGTCGCATCATCTCGCAAACGCAAGTATCAGAGCCACGAGTCGTCCGCGGTTGAATTACCATTGACACCTGACGGGTCTGGTCACCGCTCCAGGTCGTCGGCGAATATCACGCCCGCACAGCCGGCCTCTGGCAGCTCGTATCGACCACCATTTGGCAGCTCCTCTTCAGTTTTACATGGGGAGCCTGAGGTCTGGTCAGATGAATATGAGTCTGAAGACCATCACATCCGCCCGACGACAGTCGAGCAGAACGTGGACAGAACAGTATCGATGCTATCGGAACATAAGGCCGTGTTTCGATTCATTCGAGGCATAATTGACACAAGAATTTTGCGACGTCAACAAGCTCCCTCACGCCCGATACCATCCGTCCATTTCGGAGTCTCCAACCAGAACGACGCATCTCGAATACCAGAACATCGGGCAATTTCACTATCTGAACAACAAGCGTTTCTTGGTCGACTCGTGCGTAGTCATGCAATGGAAGACAAGACGAATTCACCACACGCCATTACAATCCCGTCTTTTTGGTTGTGCGATCATATCGTCAGGTTACTTCCCGAGGGCAGCTTTAATCTTCACGCTGCCACCGCGTTATTGGAACAATATACCACAGACATCGAAACGCATGTCGGGATCTGGCCACCAGTGGTGGACGTACTGCGGAAAGCAGTCACATCTCAGCTCAAATTTTGTCTCCCTCGTCCTGGCGCCAAACAGGCCGTGCTGGAGCTCCCCAAAGATGAGCGCATTATCAGGCGCCACGTTGTGGACATTGAGGATGACTTCCAAAGCTCAGCTGGAGCTGCCGCAAATGAGGTATTGGAGCGCCTGGTGAAGAACGACTAGTCTGGTCTATGCGATGACGCTGCTCGCGATGAGTTTCCAAGGATTGTCGGCGAGATCTACCCCTATCGACACACATGTACACATACACCAACGATGGAACTGCATACTGGCGAGTGCCAACAGATCTGGGGTATGCGGCATATGCTCTGCAGCTATCCAAAGACACCGATCCGGTCATCGTGTATCTTAGCCACGGCATGCTCAGTGATCTGGTGCATTATATGGGACCAGGTCTCCCCTCAAGACTAACGATGGCCATTCGCTTCCTTCTCCAGAAGGCAACTCAGCATAGACATCGTCACCCACATCTCTACGTTGAGACAGTGTTGAAATCTGAGGCCGAGGACAATGCAAGAGTTATGGCTCAGGGCTGTCATGCACATCCACAAAATGCAAAGTGTCCAACTTGCGACCAGCCCATTCAGGAGAAGAAGTCGTACTGGAACATTATCGGCTGCCCGAAAGAGTTACTCAGTCCAGACAGTACAGCCGGCAACACACACCGCGCACTGCACGCCGAGTTTTTGGACTCGCTACAGACACCCGCACATTTGTCAACAAGGCATGGTATGCTTTCTCCCCCGTTCAGACAATTCCGGAGAGGCCCGGGAATTATCCTACCCGCAATCTTGGAACGAACAATTGTCGACCGTTCAACTTGCTTTGTGCTGCCCTCACGATACGCATTGTCGCCAGGGACATTGCCAGGATCGTCAGATATATATTATCATGCTCTGGCTGCAAGAACAGGTTGTTGAGATGCGAGCTAGAAACTGTACCCACTCGATCGCCAACACCAACCGCATGGGGTCCAAAGAGATCAGATCAGCCAAATCTCGATCCGGATGCGGCTCACGACGACGACGCAGACGAAGGTCTGGCCAAGAGGAAGAAGAAGAAGAAGCTTGCCATCACGGGAGGCAAGGTACCCGCACACCACCGCAATGGCGCCAGATTGAAGCCCAAAACCAGCAGGAAAGCTTTGAATAGCAGCCTCCCGTCACCGATAATCATCGAGCATGACATGAATGACATGTCACCATTCATTCAAGACCAGACCCACGCGTTCCCTCTATCTCTGCCCCAAACGCAGCGGGAGACTCTGAGCAAAATCAGGTTTCCAAAGGAAAAATGGCTTGCAGACGTGAGGCTCGCAGATCTAATCGACCAGGACAATACTTACGGACAGGCTAGCTTCCACCTCGCGCGGACTGCGATCTTGCAGCCATTAGTGGACCACGGATTGTTCTGGTCGAAGACTCTCAGCGTTTTGCAGGGCTGTAAGAAGTTGACCAAAATGGGAGAAGAGACGCTCCATAGTGTCCTCGACACGGCTCATGAGATACGATCGACAGCTGCTCCTATTTGCCATTACAACGACGACGACGCCGTCCGACAGCGAGTTAGTCTAGCCTTGTCTACGAGTCTTCTAATCGTTAACTAAGTCCTTGCTATTAGACATACTACTTATAAACAATACATCGACGCCGTATAGCCGCTACGGCGCCCAGAAAATCTCGTCCTCAACGGTAGATACTTTGTAAGAGCTAGTAATCTAATCACATTTCGATCTATCGTTGTTATTATACCTTATCGGAAGAACTAAATAGGCACGAGTATGGTTAGCCTATTAATTAGTTCACTCTCCCAGACCGCAGAGCACAGACTCGCTTAAGACCTGCGCGACGCATTGCGCGACGCACGAGGACGACATAGAGCTAGTGAACGTCTCCATGTACAAACAGTTCGACGAGGTGTTAATAGCTTAACATCCTCTCCGACTTACTCGCGTTCCTGGCCGAAGCAGCAGACATGATAGGACATGATGCTCACAGTCTATATCTACAAGGGATATGCGGTACAGCTAATGCACGCCACTCCATTCTTCACTCGACACATGAACGAGGCCCACGTGATGGACGGCTTCTTTAGCACCCTCATGGTCGTTGATGCTTCAGATGGGAGATCGCGAGATGGAGTCGAAGTCCAGAGTCTATGGAGCGATTCGTGGGATTTGCTGCAGGCATTCGCACAGAACAAGAAAAATCGGCCAGGGCGCGCAGTAGCGGATAGCCCAATGAAGAACGGCGGATGTCATGCCATATATTGAGTTGTTGTTCTACTGAAAACCATCTGCACGAAAAGGAGGATGGTAATGGAGAGTGCGGGATGTCAGATGAGTATCATCTTACGCCGTAGTGCAACACTCACATGATAGCGCATGTACGTGGCAAGTGCAGCGGAAGTTATTCCTCATGATGGGTTGTCACGGTGCCGGAAAGGTCTGCACGACATCGACGCATACCAACCACAATGTCCATTACTTTGCACAGTAAGTCGAGGTCAGGATGTATCGCAGGACAACTGGCAGTGGGTATCTCACAAATATATAGAAACAATCGCGATCAATACAAGATGTTTGGCCTCCAGAAGCCTGGCATATGGTCAATGAATTCGTCCTCCACCGCATCTCCAAGCATGGGTCTCTCATTAGCAAAACCTGGCCCCTTCGTCTCGATGTGCGTGAATGTCTGTCCAGGAAATATCTCATCCTCTGTCGGCTCGATTGGTGCAGCAGGGTCATGCGCATGTTCCATTGAATATTCGAGTTCATGCCCAGCCTGCAACGAACTCTGCCAGTCACTCTGCTGGCCTGCCGACGCGTCATCTTGGTCGTACAGGCCGTGAAATGGAGTCGCAGCGAGGTCATGAACGAATTTGTCTGTCGTTCTGCTTCCGATATATGGGTCGAATGTCGACTCTCTGTGCTGGTATACCGCATGAGCGGCGTGTTCAAGTCCAGCATGCTCGGCAATTTGTTCTGTATACCTGTCCGCAAAAGGTACGACTGGCGAAAGCCGTGCTTGAGCGAACCAAGGAATCGACGGAGCAGGAGCAGCAAGCAAATGCTGCGCGATCTGTGAAGGATTGCTCGCACTCACGCGAGCGAAGCCACGACAAGGGATCTGAGCTGTCGGTGAGCTCGCTCGGACCGGTATGTCATGTCTGTTGGCATGGCCTGAGCTGTCCGACATCCTGACTTGCGACGTTGCTCTTGCGTGTGACTGGTCTGCAGTAAATTCACGCATTTTCACGCTTGAGCTGTGATGCGCTGCGCCTGAATGAAGGTACTGCTGAGGCTGCGCCACTCCATACAATGCTTCCCGTAGCAGTTTGCTTGTCGGTGTTGAGTGGTTTGGATCGACATTTTCCTTGTCAGCAATCTCCTCTCTCCCACGCGGAAGTGACAGAGACCGAGTTGACGCCAGTGGTATCATTCGGAGGTTGAGAATGTCAGATGTGTGGTGAGCTTTTGTCCTTTGGGGTGTTTCAATGAGTGACACAAAGGGCGACTCTGCTGTCCTCTGCTGCGGAAGTGGCGCGGATGTGATCGATCCGAGTGCACTTTCGAGGTAAGGTGGACGGTGCCGCCGTCTGTTCAGTTCAGGAGGCGATGGATCGCGCCCTCGGATGCTCGGAGACCTGCGAGATACAGATCCAGTCTTTCGAGTAGCATGATTACTGACCTCGTGCGCCTCGTCCTCATTATGCTCATGCCTGACACTTTGTGGGTCTTTCGAAGTTCGAGACGGCCGACTTTGATTGAATCGCAACGATGCTGGTTGTGCCTTTGGGACAGAGTCTGACCACGTGTAGCAGCTGTTGCTCGTGTCCCTTGTATGTTGCCCTTCCCGCGGAACATGTGCGCTGTCCCTAGCGGGATCCGTGTGCTCGAGTCGCTCATTTGAGGATTTCAGCACACCATGAGGCCGACTCTGTCGTGACACGGCTTCTATGGTAGCCTGAACGGGTGCTTCTCTACCGCGGGACTGATCGTGATCGTCCTGACCAGATTGTCGTTCTGCAGTCACTTTGCGGAAGTACGTAGAGATCTCCTCGTCGCGAAGCTCCTTGCGACTTTTCTTCCGCTTACTTTGAGCTTCATTGACAGCATCCTGTGTCTCGACATCCTTTGGCCTCGAGAGAAACCTCATTTCATTGAAGACTAAGTCCGGCACTGCGCCAACGTCAGTATTGCAACACTGACAGTTGCGGTGTATGACATACGGCCTGGACCACTTGTAGCGACAGGTACCGAAGCTTTGCCATGATTGAAGATGCCAACACGAGCTTCGGGCTGGAGCTGTCTGCATATTAGCCTAGTGCGGCCGTGGTACCTACAGGAAGTCTCACGGTCAAGCGATTATTTTTCGCTCCATTCTTGAGCTGGAAGCTCTGCACGAGCTCTGCGGTGCGAGCTCCATCTCCAGTTCGGCGACTCTTCCGATGCTTCAGTTTGGATTTGGATTTCTTCTCCTCGCGACTTTTGCGGTCCTTGTTCCCTTTCGGCTTGGCTTCGTAGCGATCTGGTCTGGTTTTGTGTCGCGCGCGCCTCTCGAAAGACTCTGCTGTGACCTTCGCGCGGGCGGGTTCATGATCCTCGCTGTCTTGTGAGGACTCCACGCTCGCGGAAGTATCGGATTCAGGTGCACGCTGCACGCGATCGGGACTGGAGGAATGCGCGACTAGATGCCTCCGCTTGGAATGGCCAGTTGGATGTGCAACCTCATGCTTCGCATCGTTTGATAATCGCCTCCTCTTGACCAAATGAGAGCGAGAATGTTTTGTCGTCGGTTGAAGGTAGTCAGGAATGCCCAGCGTCTCTTGCTCTTCCGGCGGCTCCCTGTCGGCTACATCCTGCAGCCAGTCCCTGATATCCATCGGCAAGGGATATGACCAGGATTGAAGTGAAGCCCGACTCCGGTAGGTAATGCGAAGTCGCTATGCGGCTTCCCTCGCCGTGTCACACAGTCATCGGAGGTTCACCGACAATGGCACTTGAGCTGCTCATCCCCAAATGCTTGTAGTAGAGTGGAGCTCGGGGTGTAGTGGTGGTGTCGCTTGCTGCGATGGATCGGCCTAGAACTCAGTCCTCTGACATGTCTCAAGTGCAGTTCGAGCGGAAGGGCGGAGTGGAGCCCACCTGCCTGGTCGGCTCGATGCAGCCCATGCAACAGGTGCAGCAACACCCAGGGCACCTGCCGACTGCCATCCGAAGCGCGTGGGAAGGACTCATCGGAAGCTGCAATCCTGACGACGTGGGGGAAGTCGCGAAGTTCTTCGAAAAAACGGTGACGGGGGAAATGCAGCTACGGGGCGGCCGCAGACGTTCGCTTGGAATGCACTTGTTCATCACACTGCGGGCGGTATGAGCATAGCGGGTAGCGTAGTGATGTTCTGCATCAAGCTACACATGGCTGCACGTAGCGCGCAGAAGATCGTCGGCAGCTCTCTCTCAGCACACAGCACACATTGTCGCCACAGACAAGACGGGTGGCAGCGTTCCTCCAGGCTCCAGAGCGGTTGCGGTAACTAGTTACTGCGAGCTGATGCCGGAGCAGAGTTGTCGCCTTGCTGCCCAATCGCCTCGTGCCTTGCCAGCCATCCCCGTCTGGCGTACGTGGTGCAATCAGGGAGCAGTGCCCTGCCAGATTTCCTGCATATTCCTTCCATCACGTGCATCCACCAGTGCCCCGGGCGACGGCGATGCAGCTCTCTCGTTGGGGAGCAGGCTGCGCTTATTCATCGCAGGCAGGCGAGAGTTCGTCGAAAGTTGGAGCTTCGCAGCTTGCGCAACCTGGCTGAACCGGCGCCCGAAGGCGAGCCGACCGCTTGGGTGGCCAGGCTGGAAAAAAGACACGGCCACAGCCTTCGGGCCCTGCTCCATCGCGTGCGGCATTTGCTCTCCGAGGGCGCGGTGACAACGGACACGACCTGCTGAAATGCTTGGCGGCGCGCGCTTGTGCACGCTCAATTTACGGGCGAGCCGCACAGTCTTGCGCGCATTCCAATCGTACCAAAACCAAGGAAGAGAGCTCAATGGTACATCCATGATGACACTTTCACGCTAGCCCAAGTACCATAGAATGACAGGATAAGAGCGTTTGGGCAGCCGGATGAGCTAGGGTCCCGTCCATTCAATCTTCCACCTCGATGCACCCGTTGCGCAGTAGTCTCCCGCTGCGCAGTGAGGGGCGGACGTTTTCATCAGCTGCTGGCATTCGATCGACCTGCTTGGAGGGGTCTACCTCGCTCTGTCCCCCGTTGCACAGTGAGAGCAGCGTTTGCTTCCCGCCGCCACCCACTGCGCAGATCACACAATCGCATTATTGAGCGCGAGCTTGCCTTGCCCTCACATAGCTCTCACAGCCACGTGCGATTCTTGCTGCCGGCACATGACCAGGCAGTGACACTCTTGTTCCTCAGCCTCAACGTCTTCTGCTTCCACCACAACACCACTTCCCACGACCCCCATTTTCTTCCCTTTGGAACGGCCGAGACGAGCGAGAACGTGTGCGCGGTGCTACAGGGCGAGATCATTCGGTCCTTACCTCCAGTAACTCAACATGTCGAAACTATTCATCGGGTGAGACAAAACGGCAACAGCGATTCGCACCACCACGTCAATTAACATTGAATACCAGGGGCCTTGCATGGCACACCGACGACCAAACTTTGCGCACCAAGTTCGAAGAATTTGGTCAAGTTGACGAGGCCGTGAGTGCAATACCAAGAGCTACATGTGCGCATCGAGCTGACGTCAACGCCAGGTCGTCGTCAAGGATCGCGACACTGGTCGCAGCCGTGGCTTCGGTTTCGTTCGATTCTCCGAGGAAGCTGGTGCTGATGCCGCTATCGCCGCCATGAACAATGTCGAGTGAGTGAGACGCATGGCAAGCTATTGATCAGTCCACTGAGCAAATGTCACAGGTTCGATGGCCGCACCATCCGCGTTGACAAGGCTAGTGACCGTGGCAGCGGAGGTGGAGGTGGCTTTGGCGGTGGTCGTGGTACGTTTCTCACTCCCTAGCGAGCGCTTTCAATTGCTAACCACATGTAGGAGGCGGCTATGGCGGCGGCGGAGGTCGCGGCGGCTACGGCGGCGGCGGTTACGGCCAGCAGCAGGGCGGCTATGGCGGAGGTTACAACCAGGGCTATGGCGGCGGTGGTGGTAAGTTCGATTCCGTGATTGGCACTTCTTCAGCATCACTGATCGTTGCAAAGGCTACCAACAGGGCGGCGGCGGCGGCAACTGGCGCGGCGGCGGTGGTGGTGGCTACCAGCAGGGCGGAGGCTACGGCGGCGGCCAAG